GAACAGACTGCTGGACTATCCAGGAAGGCACTGCTTATGTTCTTATGCAGGGGCAATGGGAATGGTGAAATGGACCTCCTCCTTGGCTAAAGCACCAGTCATAAGACCACTCCCCCTCTCCCCAAATAGCTCTGGTTGTTATGCAGTAAATTGCAAAGGTCTTCTAGGTCCAGGGACATGTATAGTAGTGATACCATCCCCTGTTCCTGGTTGTTATTGTAAACCTACAAAAGCTTTATTAATTACAATTGCATAAGCATTACACTCCCCCCCCCATTTGTATTCACTTGCCTCACGGTACCCTGATTAGGTGATGTATGGGGACTGGGAAAGACAACAGCACCCTATATGCAATAGTTGTGTGCATGTATTATGATTTTCTGACCTGCTCAGCCTTCCTTTACATCCTTTGCCAACTGTAGTTCGTCATATGTCACCTCAGCTGTCCTTTTGTTGACCATTAGGTTGCTGGGTCAAATGTGACTTGCTACATGGCAGATAACATTCTTATCTCTGGTCCTCGTCTGATTTCAAAATTGACATCCTTATCTCTTCACCTTGCTTACACATACACGTTATTCTCCAGGGTCAAATTTTGATTTTTCTACTCATCTATTTCTCCCAACATTTTAGTTTTTGTAACACCATTGTTAACTTTGGTTTATTCAACTCAAAAACACATGGGCTGGGTTCATATAATATGTTAGTCTAAAATGTGGTTGGTGTGTATATGAGTCAGTGTTTTATATACATAGACTTCATATGAAAACTGAAAACTATCACTGAACTATATCTCATCTTGGTAATTTCTGGTTCATGATTTAATTGCAGCATAAAAATCACAAACCAGTTTTTATTTTCTGTGGTTTTTCTAGCTCTTTTGTCTGCAGAGAGATGATGCATAGAATATCTACAGAATAATGCATAGCATTTGAAAGATTGCCAAAGTTGCATAAATAATTGTTTTTCTGACTTGGGTTGGAGACTAAAAGAAAATAATTGGTTTAATTTGATCACCAAAATATTTGTTCTTAAAATCTTGCATTCGGTTCATGAAGTCAGGCAGACAGCTGTCCTTAGTAGATAGAAGGGTCAATAAAGAGTCTTCCAAACTCCCTGTTAGGAGGAGCCAGGCAACAGTTTGTTTGACTCCACATAGCAACTAGTAATGATTGTTCTCCAGTGGCTTTCCCCCCATTTTTTAAAAGCTGCAGGCCATATTGATAAAACTTTCAGCAGCTGTTGACTAGACCTCTGAGGCTACTTCCTCAGCTCTGAAATGTTTCAGGGGAATCTATCAACACAACTTCTACTTCCTCAGCAAGGTCAAGACAAGTAAATGGCAGCTTTATGAGTATGCCAGAAGATCCTTGCCAGCTGTTTCTTCTGCTTTCATTCTCACCTTGCTTTCTTAATTAAGAAGCAGACATTTAAACACCTTTTAAAGCATTTCATAAAAAGAAAGGGGACACTTAGCAGAGATTATACAATGAAGGACAATCCAAAATTTAGTCAGAAGGTATCAGTTCTCTTATGCAGAGCTATAAGTGTAAGGAGTCTAATTCTTTTTTTTTTCCCCTTAAAGTAGCAATTAAAAATAAAAGAATTGTATGGTGCCTTTCATCCACTTAAGCCTGAAATCATCATCAGATATATGAAATGCATCCTTTCAGTTGGTAGGCAGAGTTATATTTTAGAAATAAAAATCTAAATAAAGGGCTCTTCCTCATGGCTGCATGAATGTTCATTCCTCCAGTCCTTGGGCTGGATGAAAAGTGGGCTGTTCTGATTTTTGCTGCTCTGATGATCATATGCCATCAAGTCAGTGTTGACTCTTAGCCACCACATAGATAATTCTCTCCATGATGATCTGTCCCTAACCTGGTTCTTCATACTTCAGCACCTGGTCTGATGGAGTACACCAGTGGTGTTGGAGCAGACAAAATTGTGTTCTCTCTCAAAGTACGTAGGAAGCATAGCCGTGGAAAATGCTTTGTCAGCAGAAGCAGTGGAAAATCTGTAATACCTCATTTGGGACAAAACAGCAAAATACAGCTCACAGAAGCCAGCTCTTTTTCATGGTTTAAATTGATCTTTCATGACAAGAGCACTAGTACTTTTTTTTTCTTCTTAACATAGGTAGCTAAACAGGTCTAATGCTCTTCCAGAAGTATGCTAGATTTGTGTAGGTAAGGAACCCGCATTGTCTAGGTAAGAAGCCCATGACTGAATCCTGACTGAAGCCAAAGGAGGATTAGGAAATCCTAAACTCTGGCCTGTCATCTCAATTTTGCCTGTGATGCATTTGTAGGCCATTCATATGACAAAACCTGTGTTAGGAGAACAGGAAAAGCATTACTGGAAAAGAGGAACAGCCACAGACAAATCTAAGCTGCCTCTGTGGTGGTCTGAGAAAGAGAGAAAGGCTGCATCGTGAGGATATATCCCCAAAAACAATTAACAGGGCATTGTCTTGCTATGGGTAGCAGAACAGAAAGCCAGGACATTCAGATGGTTCTGTCTGTGCTATTTTTGTATAAAAATATTGTGCACTGAAGGTAAGTGAAGCGAGTATTCACAATAGTGATTAAATGCTCATAATATCTTCTTAGCATTTGCCAGTTTTGCTATTATAGATTATCACTGCATATTTCCAAACCATATTTGAACTTTGGAAATAAATCTAGAGTGTGTCTTGTGTTTTATGTGCTTTGCCCCCACTTTTAATATTTTTCTTCTGTAATATTTTATATATATACACACACACATATATGTATGTGTGTGTATATATGTATGTATATATACAATACTGTGCAAAAGTTTTAGGCGGGTGTGAAAAAATGCTGTGAAGTAAGAATGCTTTCAAAAATATATATTGTACTTGTTTATGTTTATCAATCTACAAAATGCAAAGTGAGCA